AGGAGGAGGTGGTGGGGGTGGCGGAGGAGGAGGAGGAGGAGGTGGTGGTGGTGGCGGTGGCGGGCGACGAGTACAACTGAAGACGCCGCAGTCAACAGAGTAAGAGTAGAAAGCTTTACATTCCTCCGGCGAACGTTGCAGTGGCCTTTCCGGCAAACAATTTTTCTGGTCATCACTGGCCTGAAGTTTCAGGCACACTGACGGCTCACTGCAGAAGAAATTATACGAGTACGTGAAATTCTGCAATTTTGGCAACGAGCAAATACTTGCCGGAATTTCACCGGATAATTGGTTATGTGCGACATTTAGCTGCTCCAATTTCTTCATTCCGGCCATCGTCTCCGGCAGTGGTCCGACAAGATTGTTGTCACTGACATCGAAGACGGCGAGATTGCTCAACGACCCAATTTCCGGCGGCAAACACCCATTCAACCCACTATTCGTGATTATAATTTCATTGAGTGTATTGTTCATGTTGGATAAACTGGAGGGGAGGCAGCCATTGATGTTGTTATTAGCAAAAACCAGAACAGAAACAGGGGAATTGCCGATGTTTTCCGGTAAGGAGAATTTGAAATCGTTATTATTGACGAACAGAGCATCGAGTTTCATGTCAAACAGGGGAGAAGGGAGATCCCCATGGAATTTGTTGAATCGAATATCGAGGAATTTGAGAGCAGCAAGAGAGAGAATTGCAGAAGGGAATTCGCCGGAGAAGCCATTGTTGCTGAGATCGAGCTCGAATAGGCGAGTGAGGCACTGGAAGGACTCGGGGACAGTACCGCAGAAGCGATTGGAGTTGATGTGGAACAGAGCAAGGTCGGTCAGGAGGCCGAGGTCGTCGGGTAGGGTGCCCGACAGGTTGGCATGGTTGAGGTCGATCCCGGCGACGGTGAGGATATAGGGGTCGTCGGGAGCGGGGGCACAGAAAATGCCGGAGTAGTTGCATACGTTGGGGCCGTACCAGTCAGCGGTGAAGTTGTTTGGGTCGGCAGTGATGGCATGTTTCCAAGCTTGGAGAGCAGTGTAAGCCTTGAGAAGCCTCGGGTTGGGGAGAAATGGCGGCGGGGGCGGCGATGGCGGCCGGGGAGTCGCTTGATATGAAGGGTTGGAGAGGAGGGCGAGGATGGATATGAGGAGGAGAGATTTTGGGAGAGGGAAGTTTGAGGTTTTCATTTTGGAAGAGGTTTAATGAGGCATGGTACTATAAGATTGCATTATGATATATATATATATGATACATATTTTGGTTGGTCAACCCAACCTATCTGGATAACAGAGTTACAATCTATCTTATTTTTAAAAATATTAGAATATTTAATTTTTGGAACGGGTGGTAAAGGTTTGGATATTTAAACTTTATAAAATTTTAGTTTATTAATGTTACGTGTATTATAGATAAATTTAATTTTTTATATAATTAAAAAGACAATCTGACAATTCTCAACTCAATTGGAAAGAGGTAGGTTACGTTGGTTTTTGAACTGGGTTGCTTAGATCTCCCATCTAAAACAGTTAAAATTAATCGCTACTAGATATTGTCTGTTTTGACCCGTTATGTATCACTATTAGCCTCATAGTTTCAAAACGCATCTACTAGAGAGATGTTTCCACACCCTTTCACTGAATGACTCGTTCTCCTCTCTGACCAATATATTCGAGACATATTTTTTAAAATGTAAGAGAAAATATGATTTAAAAAATAATTGACTACTTCTTAGCAATATCAATCTTACCTGCCAATGAAAAAATAGAGATTTTGAAAATAGGAAAAGGATAGGGCAAGCGGATCACTTTGGTATTTTTAAAATATTTTATTTTAAAATGTTCAACGGATGAAGTGGGTATTATGTTTAATAAAAATATATATTTGATTAATTAAAGAAATTTAATATCATAATTCTTACCTCACCAAAAACGCGGTTTTAATCAACTTTGGCTGCTTTTAATTTTAATATTCTACACATTTACTTTTATAATAAAAAAATAATTAACGACCATTTATTTCAACTTTAGAATTTAATAATTATTTATAAACTCGGGCGGTTTAAAATATGGTTTTAACTAAACGTTAGAAATTCAAATCTCACTTAATTTTACGATGAAATTTATTGATTTTCTTCTATTAACACTAGATTTTGGACTATGGACTATTGATAATTATTTATCTTTAGAGTTGGTCAGGTGGTTCCATCGTTGGTTCCATTTACAACAATGTGTTGAACTAGTTTAGAGAGAATGATTATATCTCTAGAAACAAACTTTAGGCATATAAGAGGTAGATGACATGTATGATTGCACTTTTTCTAGATACAAACTACCATCACTCAGTGGATCAAACACCGACTACCATCTCAATGCTCAAACATCTCGAGCTCGATGAAAAAAGTACTAATACTAATGAGAGTAGTTTGAAGGACATTGAAGAAGGAAAGTGAAATGGTCTCACCAAACAAACAAAATGGGAGTTAAAAGTTGAGCTAAAATGAAGGTGTTAGCTCAACCTACAGATAAACCAATGAGAAAGGCATAAATAGATTAGAACAGAGACAGGAGACAGGAACAGAGTTGCATGGTCTTTGTCAAAGGCTGTTGTTTGTTTGTGATGTGGAATTTTGGGTTACCTTACCACTTGCAGCCTCAAACATGCTGACAGAATTATGTTCATATTTAACAAAAAGTCAAAAAGGCAGACATTTGGCTTATGGAGAAAGAAACATTCAAGACAACAACAAAAAAAAGTCTCACGATTTGAATTATTTATAAATCTTGAAGAGTAAGTTGTACAATAATTCACATAGTACATGGTTTATGATCGGTTTCTTTTCTAGAAGCATGGGGTAACACTTCAAAAGCCTTACCAAAAGCAATTTGACCATGGGGACTTGGTGGGCGGACCCCCAAATTGATCTCTCCTTCTGCTTGGAGTTATTTTGCAGGCTACACAGTTGAATCTAATTCAGCACCAACAGGATTTGGCTTGCAAGTGTGGAGCTTGAGATTGCAGGCTGTTACAGCCTCTCCCACTGTGAGATAGAACCGTTCATGTCCGATCGCCTCGATGAACTTCGACACGTTTAACTTTTTGATCACTTCGCTTCTTGGATTTGCAAGCAAAAGCTACAACAATCACATAACATCACAGAAAAGAATATTATCATAGCGTGTCATTTTGGGTTTTTGGTACTGGAGATCAAACAGCATTCTATTTCTAGGGAGTTTAAGATGAATAATGAGTTGGAAATACGTACTTTGAGACCCCTTTTTTCAGTGCTCTTGTTAACCTCTTCAAGCATGGTGATCCCACTTGAGTCAATGCTGCTTACGCCTGTGTTTAAATTTCAAATCAGTATATGAGATAAAAGAGAGATCAGGTCGTTTGTTCGTTGAAGTACTTGCCGGAAACGTCTAGAATTATGTACTGCAAGCTGGTTAGGCCTGATGATTTTATCCTTTTTTCTTCGTCTGTGATCCACCTTGAAAGCCTGGGACAGGAGAAATACAAATGAGGATCAGCATCTTCATTCTCATCTTTATGCATATAATGTAGATGATTGTGCCGTTGGTGTGTGAGATCCCACGTTGGTTAGGGAAGAGAACGAAACATTCTTTCTAAAGGTGTGGAAATTTCTCCCTATCAGACGCATTTTAAAAATCTTGAGGGAAAGCCGGGATGGGAGAGCCCAAAGAAGACAATATTTGCTAGTGGTGGAATTGGGCTGTTACAAATGGTATTAGAGCCAGGTTCCAGGCAATGTGTCAACGAGGAGGCTGAACACCGAAGGGGGTGGACATGAGGCGATGTGTCAACAAGGACGCTGGGTCTAGAAGGGGGGTGAATTTGGAGGGTTCATGTCGATTGGAGAAGGAAAAGAGTACTAGCAAGAACCCGCGTGGATGCTTAGCCCCGAAGGGAGGTGAAATATTGTGAGATGGCCTTGAAGGAGGATGGATGGTGAGATCCTACATCGGTTGGAGACGAGAACAAAACATTATTTATAAGGGTGAACCTATCCTTAGCATAAGCGTTTTAAAAACTTTGAGGGAAAGCTCAACAGGGAAAGCCCAAAAAATATTCTTTATAAGGGTGTGGAAATCTCTCCCTAGCAGACGTGTTTTAAAAACTTTGAGGGAAAACTCGGAAGGAAAAGCTAAAAAATGACATGTTACATACTAGTTGCATAAATGTTACCTCTCTCTCACGTAGTTTGAGTTGGCAAAATAGATTGGGGCCTCCAATTGAAGGATGAGAGCTCCAGGCACACGGTTAGCTGTTGGGTATTGATCAATGCTTCTGTAAATTGTGGAGTTGGGAATGTTGCCTAATATTGAAGTTCTTGGCCTTGCGGTGACGAGAAGCACCCTTAACAAAGAGATTGTAATCTGAATAACAATGCCAATTGATACAAATGAGAAACATAAACGTGGATTTGATTTATAATATAAACATGAACTCATTCTATCAATTTTCTCACTGCAACGATCAAGCCCGTTTCAATACTGCCAAAGACGACACCGATGTATGCACCGATGCAGACGACAAAGTCGAATTTGTCGATTTTCCAAAGGTGGATGACCTCTTCATAGTTGATTAGGCCAATCACAGCCGTGATGATTATGGAGGAAAGCACCGCCAAGGGTGTGTAACGAAAAAATGGCGTCAAAAACAACAGAGTGATCATCAAAGACATTGCCATGACAATATTGGAGACCGCAGTTTTACATCCTGCATTGAAATTCACTGCAGTCCTCGAAAATGGCCCTGCAATTTTCAAAAATCAAATGATTATCATCATATGGGCCTCGCGGATATCTAATAATTGATGGACCAAAACTTAAGCTCCTCCATTGACTTCGCAGCTGACCTGCAGTAAGGTAGCAAGAAGTGCAAGAACCAACAATGTTCATCAACCCAAATGCAATCATCTCCTTGTTTCCATCAATGTGGTAGTTCTTAAGTGTAGCAAAACTTCTCCCCACGGCAACTCCTTCCTACATTATACAATGAATTCATCGAAATGAAGATGGTTCACTTGTAGATTACACAGTTCACTATTTTTTTTTTCTTTGGGACATTTCATCAAACACCTGGTAGTCATATTTCTAAGCACACCCATGTAACAGAAGAAACTTACAGCGAGGCCTATGATTCCGATGATGATCCCTGTTTTGATGGCAATGGGAAGATGAGGGCGCCCAAATACTAAATCAGATACAGATAAGGGATTCAACCCTTTCTTCAAAATCCCAATCTAAATTGAAACAAAAACAGAGAGACCCAATAAAGATTCAGACATGTGTTTGATCTTAAAAGCAAAAGAAACAGAGACGGCAATGGGGATTCAGTGAGTTACCACTTGAACTCCATGGCGTTCAGCGTGGGTGAAGTAGACGAGAAGACTTCCCAAGATGATGGAAAGCAAAGGCGCCAATGCATTTATCCAAAAGAAGATTGGTTTCTTCTTGCTCTGCAATTCGTTAAAATTTGTGCTAATCATGGTATCAAAACTACTAATAATGAATAATTGAATAAGAGATAACAACATAATTTATTATTTTTCATTTTCAATTTTGAAAATTGGGTTTACAATTTAATCTTAGTAAACATAATTTAAAAAATAAAATTGAGAAGCTTACCAAGTATCTGGTGAGGAGGAGAAAGGAGAGAAAACTGCAACCCAACACTACACTTTGCCATCTCCACTGTCAAAAGGGGACACAAAAATGAAAATTTGCAGAAGAGAGAGAAAGCTTTGAAGTGACACAAAAATGGCGGCGGCGGCGGTGGAAAGGCAGAAAGTAAACCTGATGAATTTGGGAGAAAAGAGAGCGCGTGACGGATACAACATCAGTCTCATGCGTGAAATGAACCAATCCCATTATGCCTTTTAGCTGCTGAAGACAAACCACCGTCGCCGCACCACCCATGAACCCCACAATCGCTGCATGCGACAGAAAGTCCACAATAACCCCTAGTCTGCACTTTTCCAACGTCAAATCGTTAAATATACGAGTCAATGGTTGAGATTCGTTGGAACTAAGTCCGAAGCTAATTTATAAAATGATCATGAGTTTATAAGTAAGAATTATATTTTATTTGCACTCGACATTTTGAGAAGCTCGAAACAAAGTCATTCAAAGTAAACAATATCATACCATTACCATTGTGAAAAATCAAGATTTTTAACTTGTTATTAGAGTTACGCCCTAAATTTAGTTATGTCAATAAAATCCTCAAAGGTCGAATAAGGAATTATGAACCTAACATGGTATTAGAGTTATACCTTAAATGTAGCCATGTCAATAAAATCCTCAAATGTCGAACAAAGAATTTGAGCTTCAAAGTGTAGTTAAAAGTGACAGAAATGTCGAATAAATTGTGTAATTGTTCGAGGGCTCCAGAAAAGAAGTCGAGTCTCGATTAAAGAGAGACTGTTCGAGGGCACCATAGGCCTCAAGAGAGGCTCTATGTTGTACTTTGTTCGAGAGGAGGATTATTGATGATTGTTGAGACAAATAGTGTACTTTGTTCGAGGGCTCTAGCGAAGGAGTCAAGCCTTGATTGAGGAGAGACCATTCGAGGGCACCATGGGGTTCAGGGTAGGCTTTATGTTGTACTTTGTTCGAGGGAAAGATTGTTGATCAATGTTAGGAGGGAGTCCTACGTCAAAAAAAAATGATCATGGGTTTATAAGCAAACAAGGAATACATCTCATGGGAAGTATTTTGGAGAACCAAAAGCAACGCCACATGAGCTTATGGTTAAAGTAGACAATATCATATCATTATGGAAAGTCGTGATTTCTATCCAAACTGAAATGGTTTACCTGAGAAAGCCGAGAGAGGCCTGAAAAGCTCCGGCGAAGAAAGTGGCAGTGAAAACCAATTGCACATATTCCTTGGGATGCTCCACCGGGCTGACTTCCTTCCCCAATAGGGCGGACATGAGAAGCGACACCACCGCCACAGTCCCCACCGCCAAATCTTTGGAGCTTCCAAGCATGGCGTATATCAATGGCGGCACAAAGCTGGAATCTGCATTAAAAAATGATTAATAACCAACATGGTGTTAAACCAAAAGGCATCGTGCACGAACTTACAAAGGCCAATGATGGGGGGGATGGTGGCAAGATTGGCATAGCTGATGCCCTGAGGGACGGCCAAACTGGCGATGGTGATGCCGGCAACGAGGTCGGCTTTAAAGAAATTGAAGGTGTAGCGAGGAGCCCATTCGAGGAAGGGGATAAAGTATTTAAGCCAGAGAAGAATCTGGGCTCCTATGGGCTGGTTTTTGAACTGTTTGAAAGGGTCATCGGGGAAGAAGGTCTCTTTGAGATTGGCGCCTAAGGACACCAAGAACGGCTTGGTCGGAGGAATGGCCACACGGTGAGGGCTCTCAATCTCTTCATTACCCATAATTCCAACTTTAATGGATGAGTTTTACTGGGTGATTTGGGTTTGTGCGTCGGATATATAATGTGCTGATTAACCAGTTCGGCCTCGGGGATCTTCTCCAGAGTGGATTCGGGGACCCATTTTTTTCTCGACACGTGGCGCAAGTCAACTGCCGTTTGACCATTGGAAATCGATGAGGCACCAGATCTGACTCAGAAATGCCTGTTTGGATAATTTTGATAAAATTAACATAAATTTCAAAAACTAATTATGAAACCATTTTTGTTTTTAGTTTTTTTAAACAAATTAACCTCTTAAATACTTTTTTTTTTTATCTATTTTATATATATAGTTTTAACAAACTTTGTTTTTTTTTTTTTTTAATTAATTGTTCTCTAAAATGTGAAAATAGAAAATTATTTTTCAAAATTACCAATTTAATTAATTTCTCACATTTTAGGTAAATTTTTTGTTTTAATTTATAATAAATAATGATTGCTTAAATCATAATGTCATGTTGATAAGATTAAAAGGGTGATTTGGCATGGCGTATATAAAATGAATATCAAATTATTTAATTACTATATTAAGAATATTATTAACATGAATGTTTATTTTAAAATAAAATTAGTTGTCAATGTCTGCATCATAATTTGTTACCACATTGGTAACATTGTTACCTTACAGACTTATTCAAGATTAAAATGAAAAGTATAGAAAAATAAATTAGTAGGTAAATTTATAAAAAAATCACGGGTAATCTCCGCTTCCATTCCCGTAAACATAAATGAAAAAATTTGTAGGGATGAGAAATGAAATAGGTAGTCGTGATGGGGATGGAGATGACTTCCCTGTCCCTCCCCCGCCCCACCGACATCTCTACACTTATTTATCTACTAAAATCGGCTAATTTAGACGAGAATCTTAATTAATAAATTAATCTCTCAATAACACTAAATCAAATTTGAAGCCCAATAAGGTAGTTTGTGGTCCAATTTGAAGCCCATCACGCTTTACAAGACAATATACCATAAGTTTAGAGATGTTCCTTTAAGTCCTACCGGAGCCCCTACTTGCATAGGATAAAAAATAGAGTAGGAAAAGGGAATGGAGAGAGGTTTATCTTGTTAACTAAATAGTGTCAATAGGAGAATTATATTCTCCATCCGTGATTCGACCCGTGTATAATCCGATCCATGCAAATTTCCAGCTAGAATCTTATTTTGATCCCAACAAAAAATAATAATAATTTTTTTTTGGATAGACACGGAGAATGTTTGTTGAATTCACCTAGTTAAATGGTGGAAAAATTATCTTATTTATAATCAAATAAATTACAAAACTGTAATAAACAGAAATAACAATAAGATACTTAGATAATTGTTTGGTAATAAAATATCAAATAAGATATATAAAATAACAAAAACATTAAGCAATTTTATTAACAAAAACATTACAAATTATAATTACATTCCATTGAAGACTAAAACAAAACACCCACACACACACCAAAGGGAAAACAAAAGAATCAAAGAAAGGTCAGAAATTGGAAAGGTTTTTATTATTATTATTATTATTGTTATTATTTCATCATCTTCTCTGTTAGTGCCTGTTCCCATAAACCTGCAACAAAGAAGAAGAAACAAACAAAATTCCTTCAAAATGGGGTTAAGAAAAAAAAAACGTACCAATTTAAATTTGTTCAATACTCACTTCCTGCGATGCCACCGATCGACAATAGTTCAGATTTGTCAGCACCGAGCACGTCGACCCACATTCGCTGTCCTTCAGCGATACTGACGACCGGTCCAGCTTCACCGCCCATGGAGGATACCCGTAGTTCTTCGCGGCGGACCCCAAATGTGACGACGACCGCTGCATTCTCACCGCCCTTGGAATGTTCCTCCCCTCCACTGACGCCCGCCTTCGGCTCGGCTGTCTCTCAAGCGACTCTGGCCTAGCCTTTGGTGCGCTCTGCGACCGCACTTTCGCCTTCGACGATTCGGTGTTCGCCATGTAATTTGGGAACAATGGGTAATCGTAAGACAAAGATTCTGCATATTCGGATCTGGGAAATTCGAATGGGATGCGATTTGGGTCGGATTTCGCCATGGCGGAGAAGCATTGGGGACTACTTTGAGCTGTTCCGTAGGCGTAATCTTCGAAATGGCCGCTGAATGTTCTCGGGCTCATGTCGGTCATCGCTGACGGCGCCGGCGAGAGACGGTAGTTTTCTTGATTCGAATAGGTATTATGGCTGTAGCTATTGCGATTCTTTAGACTTCCACCTAAATCCATCTCCACGATCTTTATGTTCTCTTCCATTTCTCTGTCAATCTCCTGCATAAAAGGGGGAAAAAAACAGAGTTGTACCATATCGTTACAAAAATGAAGAAAACAAGATCAAATTTTAATGGGGTTTGAAAATTACTTGATGGGTGTGTCTTTGACGGCTTTCTTGGAAAGATTTTCGATGGGATGAGTGCCATGAATGGGCAGTGGGCTGTGAATCTTCCGCCATTTTGATCCTCTGTGTTCGTGCTCTGGCCTGCGCCGTCACTAAAGCTTGCATACACCGCAGAGTTTCGGTGGCTCTTCGCCTCACCAAATGGCCTCTCACCATCGCCTGCAATTTCACTAACCCTTTCAAAGCACACAGCGCCTTTCTCGCCTGCATTTTCAATCACAAACACAATTTCTTCAGATTTCGATTTGGGCGGTCGTCAATTCGAGTTTTGTGCATTTACCAGATAAGATCTGAAAACGGATTGGATTTTAATCGCAGCAGCTTCTTCAATTCTACTATCTTTCCCATTCGACGCTACAGTCAAACGAATCACGACGGCGGCGGCTTGTGCAGCAGCGACTGCCGCCTCCGTCGCAGCAGCCATCGCCATAGCGTGTTTTTCCTGTTCCTTCTCCATATCAAACGTGGTATTCACAGATGGGTTGACAGCGACGGCGACATTCGATCCCGGCGTGTTCACCTCCTTTGCCGGTGAGGGTCGCCGGAAACTCCATCGCTTCTTCTCTTTGGGAGACGAAACCGGAATCGTTGAATTTCCAGAGGAAACAACAGAAACATGATTGGCGATTTGGTAATGTTCCTTGTCGAACTTCTTGCCGGAGAGGAAATTCTTGAGCCATTTTCCGGCCTTACCCATGTCTTCTTGTTCTCTGAATCAACTAAAAATGGAGATCTCTCGCTTCGTTATGAGCTTTTGAGACGAAAATGGCGGCCTTCAGTTACATGTCGTGTTGTTTGTCAGTACTCACAAATTTACGTGTTGAGAAACAGAGTGGTAAGCTCCCAGATTCTGGAATATATCGATGACCTTCTTCTTTTTGTATTTACCTTATCATATTGCTACTTTAATTAAACAATAAATATTAATTAATTAATTAATTATCCATTAATTTATACTATATTTGTGTTAATGTCAGATTTCCACATGCCTCGTTACATTAACATTATCTTCAATAATTTAGTGGCTTTCAAAGAATAAGATAAAAACAAATATATTTAATATTTTTGTAATTAATTAATTTTATACTAAATTATATGAACCCAACTCATACAAATATAAGATAAAAGTGAATTTTCACGTAATTTTAAAAAATAAGAAAATAAAATAAGAAGGTTCCTGGGGACCAAAAAGATAAGACTTTAAAAGTATTATATATTTTTACGTAAATAAACAAAATTGTAAACAAAATAGGAAAAAATAGATAATATTATTTATTAAATGATTAAACAATAATTAGTTGGCACTCACATGGCCTGTTTGTAATAATAAGTGCTTCTCTTCGTTTCAACTTCCTGTTTTGCTTTTGGGAAGCACTTTGCCTTGTTTCATCCCCTTTATGAATACTAATTAATAATCAAACTATACTTTTAATTTATACAATAAGCTTTTAATTCGCGTTACATTTTTGTTTATTAAGGGATGGAAAATTAAATTAAGTGGGTTATTCATAATATTAATTTTTATTGGAAATCTGAAAATAAAAACTTAGAAATAAATAATTAGTGTAGATTTGATTAATATGTTGTCTAAGTATGCTTAGGTGCTCTCCACATGGAGCTCATTTAAAAATTAAGCAAATAAATCTTTCCATGTGCTAAAGTCATTAATTAGGGAATAGTTTTATTTATTTATTTATTTTATTTTATTAGGAGATATGAATACTAATCAATTGGTAAGAGAAATGAAATAATTAATTTTTATTTGGGTTTTAATAATTTTAAATTTGATTAATTTTGAAACATGATATATGTAGTTGTCTTATCATTTTGAGACATGTAATTTTCAAACATGTTTGGAATATTGAAGTTGATGTTTATATATATATATATATATAATTATTATTATTATTGAAAAAGGGGACATTTAATTGTTAATTTGTTATAAGATATAGGTAGAAATTGGGAGTGGGAGTTTTGTGGAGACTGTCGCGTCAGCATTGAATTCGATTGCTGTTGACGCTTTATCCTGTCGGATGTCCGTCACGTTCCCGTGTTTTTTCCCACTCGCCGCCCACCGCCACCTCAACCATCCATTTTTTACTTACTTTCACGGGTTTCCGACCACCTAAACTTTACTTCTTTCTTTTAAATTATAAATTATTATTATATATCATTTTAGCCATTATTTTTATACTTATTTTTTTAGAAAATAGCTTGTTTATTTGTCTTAAAAAATTAAGAATCACGACTCTCCACAATGGTATAATATTGTCTACTTTGAGAATAGTTTTCATGAGTTTGTTTTGAGCTTCCCAAAAAGCTTCATACCAATAGAAACGTATTCCTTTACTTATAAATCTACGATCATTCCTAAACTAGCCAACGTGGGACTCACTCCCAACAAATTTAAGTTGGTAAATTTGTTTTACACATGGATTAAAATAGTCATTTTTAAGAATTAAAAAAATAAAAATATTACTACTTAAAATACGATTTCTACTAAAATAATATAACGAGTAAAACCTAAAAGAATAATAAAAAGTTTGAATTTTTATTTTAGGCTATTTT